TTCATTAGCCCGATCTGTTCTCTTTGGGCTTCACATTCTCAGAATTTTGCTTTAGGTAAAATTCAGTGGCAAAGTTTTGATGGTCAAGTTTTGTTTTGTTTTTTAAGCTGCTTGAGATGATGAAGGATGTGTATTGTGAATTATTTTTTATCGACTGTGTCAAGGGGCAGGGAGAGAGGATCAAATCTTTTGGAGGAAGCTTGCTTTTGGTTAGTGAATCCCCTTAGCTTATTAATTACTCTGGAGCTTCTTGGGACAAAAGGGTCTCCTTAATGAAGAGCCTTTTCAACTTCTTCATAACAGTGTGAGTGTGTGTGTGCGTTCCTAGTGAGAACCTTTTTTTGCACCTGATGAAGTTAATGTCATGGCAAATAAAACATCTGAGGGTTTTAAGTGGGTAGCCGTGTTGGTCTGAAGCAGCAGAACAAAGTTTGAGTCCAGCGGCACCTTTAAGACCAACAAAGTTTGATTCGAGGTGTAAGCGTTCGTGTGCACGCACACTTCCTCAGATACATTGAAATGGAAGTTGCCAGTCCATACATATAGGTGGAAGAAGAGCAGCAAATTAACATAATAAAGGTGTATCTGAATAAGTGCGTGTGCACACAAAAGGTGCCACTGGAGCCCATAGTGCCCTCTGAGTTGCACGAGGGGGTGCTGGCACACAAAATTTTAGATGGCAGCTCAGAGGTTTTTGCTTCTGCACACAAAGCTCCTCCCCCCTCCATTGGAAGCAATGGAGGGTGGGGGCACCTCCTTCTAGGGCCCATAGAACTGGACCCCTCCAGACGACAGGTCTACCAATATAATGGAAAGGGGTGGGTGAAATTTGATTTGATTCTGGTTTTTTCTTATAATGTTTAAATGATTTGAAAGAATTTATTCTGAGATTTTTACAAGGTGATGGAAGTAATCTTCTAAAAAAACTAATTTACGCGATAGTGAAATGTAAACTCGCTCACAGCTTTAAAGCCACCAGCCTCTTCCACTCACGAGGTAGAATTCCTGCTCACGATACGGTGGAGCTTAAAGGGAACATTGCACTGGACTCAAGCTTTGTTCTCCTTTTCGCTCCATAAGACGCACCCCCCCCCAAAAAAAAAGTGGGGGGGAAGTGTGTGCGTCTTATGGAGCGAATACTCCTCTCGGCTGCAGATGCTGCGCGGCTCAGCTGACTAGTCGGAAAGACCTTCTGCTGCTGCGGCTGCACCGGGGGACGGAGGGCAACAAAGCACTCACACAGTGCAAGAAGCAGAGACGCCTGGCGTCCCCCCCATTTCCCCCCCGGGTCTCTTTCACACGCACGCGCAGCTTCCAGACTTCCACAGACCCAAGCTGCCACACAGGCGCAGAGACGCACGGGCGCGCACCGGTTCCTCGCTTCACCCCTTCCCAATCCCTTCTCGCCCTCGCGCGCCTGCACGCTCCTTTCGGTTCTCAGAGTCGAATCGCCCCCCCCTTCCTCTTCCTCCGGTGTTTGCCCCTCTCCCTCCCTGCCGCCCCTCGCCTCGCGCTGTCACTCCGGGTCTGGAGGAGGAGGAAGGGGAGGCTGCTCATGTGAACACCCCCCGCGTTTATCCGCCTTTGGCTCACCATTCATTACAGTATTTGGTTCAGAATATTTTTCCCCCTGTTTTCCTCCTCAAAAAACTAGGTGCGTCTTATGGTCAGGTGCGTCTTACGGAGCAAAAAATACGTACTTTTGGGTTTCAGGCCCATGCTCTGGATTCGTAAAATACATTGTTTTATTATGTCAAGGAATACCATCTGGAAAGGAAAATTTCCGCTATTTAAGATAGCATGTTGCACAATGGAAGCCGTCATAACATGCAGAATAAAAGTGTGCCACTTGTGTCTAGTTCTCACTAACAGCAGGTGGGGTGGTCAACTAGCATCAGTTGTACCACTTCAAATTGAAATTTCTCTAGCTCTCCTGTCTTTGAAACAGACACCAGATTTCCTCCTCACTTTGACCTGTACAGTAAACCTTCTCCTTGTAGCCCCTTTGAAGCAGGAACCGCCAGCTGCCCATAAAAATAATTTTGGACTCCTGGACTCTCTGAGGAAATAAAATCTGTTCCTGTCTGAAGGAAAGACCCCATGTGGAGTGCGAAAAACAGTCAGGCAAGAACGTGTAGTAGGGAACAGTCAGCATCACACTGAGAAAATGATATTTGGAAATGTTGGGGTGACAGCCTAAAATTCGATTTAATTACTTCTGTGTTTCAACTATTCCACTGAGAGCCAGTGTATAGCATTGGATAGAAACTTCAGCTTGGTCCAGGTGAAGGCCTTGCCGGGCACAATGGTCATGAAACACCCCTGGGCCATTAACTTACCTCACAGGGTTATGAGGAGGATGAAGGAGGGGTGTCATGTATGCCACCCTCGATTCCTCGGAGGAAGGAAGGGCTACAAATGTGAGCAATTCTCAGCCGCTTACACTGAAGCAGGAATTAAAAGCCATTCAACAGACTCAAATCACAGTTAATTGGTGAGCTCAAACAAACCAAAATACTCATAATGGCTTAACACTTGTATGTTTGGGGGGTTTTTTTCATACATTATCT